AATTAGACTAGAATTATTTATGTAAAGTGACCAGATTTTCTGGAGTATAAAGCGGGACACCTAACTCAGTTTCAATGTTAATATATATATGAAAATATAATATATTATACGAGGACAGGACAATCTTATGTGCAGTCATAGTACGGTAGTGCCTACCTTAATTTTGATAATGCAGGACCTTTAAGTTCATAATCACGACAAGCAGCTCGAAATCAGGACGTCTATTCACATTCTATTTATGTAAAACGTATATTTACGGTTTTTTGAAGCAGTGAAGCGTTTAAATCAGACGTATTTAATAACCTACAGTGGATAATTTTGTAATAATTATTCATTGTCAAATGAATCAGTATTATTCTTGGATGATGTTTTATCTATATCATTTTCCAACTATCTATCACACTCAGATTATTTCAATAGATTTAATTTAATCACGTGTTTCGATCACTTCTTTACAGAAATTTGTAATGAGAGAGACAGACCTTATTTAAATTAACAACTGGTGTTAACGTACCCAACTAAACATTTTTGCAAACTCAGCAAAAAAAGTAAGAAATTTCTCCATAACTTTAAAATGCCATGTCACATTTTTGTTTGTCTAGCAAAGCTCCCGAAAAAATATTTTTCTCAGTCTAGCAACGTGCATTTTATACACTCCAGTTGCTTGGTGTTTTGGAGATGATGAAGGATATAATGTTTTAAAACCAAACACAGTGAGGTATAAAACGCAGAAATAACAACTTAAACAACAACACTGCCGCCCCTTTCAGCCGTGGGAGTGTTATAATGTGGCCGTCAATCCCACTATTCGTTGGTAAAAGAGAAGCCTAAGAGTTGGAAGAGTTGGAAGTGGATGGTGATGACATCCCTCTAGTCTTTCACTGCTAAATTAGGGACAGCTAGCGCAGCTAGCCCTCGTGTAGCTTTGCGCGAAATTCAAAACAAACAAACAAACAACCCTGTCAAGCTCAGAGTTTTAGAATAATAATAATACGTAACTGTGTTATACTGAACTTTACGAAACTTAGACAAATTGTCAAACATCTGGTTGTGTTAGTGTTTAAACCATTTGAAGTAGTCGTTCTGGTGTAAAACTAAATCTCATTATCTAACAGTACCTACTGAATAATCCATGCAGTGGTAGAAGCCGCAGATTTTATCCATATCAGAAAGTGAGATGTTAAACAAAAGAAGCATGTTGA